GTATACGGCGGACCTGCCCACACAAGGACAAAGCAATGAAGACCTCAGCCCTGCGAGACTGCTGGTGGCAACATATGCGGACGACACTGCCTTCCTAGCCTCCCACAAAAATCTGCAAGCTGCTACAAGTGCAGTGCAAGACTGGCTGCTGCAGATCGAAACCTGGACAGCTATGTGGAACATCGCTATAAACTGTGCCAAGTCCGCCTGCGTCACTTTTACGCTGCGCCCAGACAGCTGCCAGGGGCTACGGTTCGATGGAGGAACCATTGAGCAGACCAACTCTTTCTGCTACTTGGGTGTCCACCTGGATCGAAGGCTCATATGGGGGCCTCACATCGCAGCAACGAGAGCAAAATGCCTGAGAAGACTTCAAAAGCTCGATTGGCTACTAAAGCCTCAAAGCAAGCTGCACATATCCACGAAGACACTGCTTATCAAAACGATGGTAACGCCTATCTGGACATATGCGATCCAAGTTTGGGGCACGGCATCAGCACACCAGCTCCGTCGCATAAGAGTGGTCCAAGCCAAGGCAGCACGCAAGGTTGCTGGCCTGCCATGGTACGTAACAACAGACGCCATCGAACGCGATCTCCGCCTAACAAAGGTCGGAGATCAGCTCAACTTCTTCAGCAGCCGATACTCCGACAAATTGGTGCAGCATCCGAACGCGGCCGCACGGGCCCTGGCTGAGCCCATCAGTGAGAGGCGCCTCCGAAGGCTACACCCCGACGACCTACCAACGAGGCGCATCACTTAAACATCCCTTTCCCAATATTGTTATACATTTTTAAGTCTGTAATTATCATTTAAGTTATTAAATAATAACTATACACTATACCCTTAACTCCGCTTGGTAGAGATCAGAAGGCACTGATCGATTCCAGCGCAAAATAAACCAAAATAATAAGCAAAAAAAAGAACTTACTGCACTCTAGAGACGATAGATGGCATGAAGCCCAGCACAGGTCCACTCCAAACCCTCTCGAAAGGTGACTCCTACACAAAACAATAAACTCCTTTGAAACCGATGTCAACGTTAACGCTCAATCTTGCAAACTTTGCTCAGAGGATAACCATCCGGTGCGCTTGTGCCCACGTTTTCTGCTGATGTCTGTTGGTGATAGGTCCAACTACATAAAACAGCAAAGAGCAGAGCTTTTAAGATTGGCTCCCCACCGAGGATCCAAATCGAAACGTCCGGCTTTGTTTTGTCCAATTGGGTTGGTAAGATTGACTAAGCAGACATTATCCTGTCAATCCTCCTCAGCGGCTCACAATCAAACATATGCGGCTTGCTACTGGGCATGGACACCATCTTCGGTTAGATCCTGAATTAAGTCGAATGCCGCGCGATTTTCGTCCTTTTCCACAAGGATTTCGGTCAGCCCAGAACCACTTTTAGATGATCTTCTCACTAAGTTTTGGGAGGTGGAAGATCTGTCAGCCAAACTGGCAAAAGGGTCCGACTTCATATGCAAATAGAACTCGTACCACTAAAAGGGATGAGACAGGCAGATATATAGTAGCGTTACCCTTTAAGAATCCAGATCACATCAACTTGGGATATTCGAGGTCCATCGCACTCGCTCAGTTTCTGAGAAACGGAAATCGTTTAACGCAAGAGATCTGGCTCCATGATCTGGGGTGGGACCAATCCTTGCCAAGGAAACTCCTCCAAAGATTGCAAGAATTCCTCGAAAGACATGCAACTATCAATAAGATACGCATCCCCAGATGTGTTCAATCTTCCCCTAAGGCCAAGTTGTAGTTCCATGGTTTTAGCGATGCGTCTCAGAACACTTACGGATCAGCAATATATACCCGAATTGAACCTGCTGACAGCGAAAACCACAGACGCTTCTGTGAAAACCATCTCCCTCCTTAGAGTTGTGTGGGGCTGTCCTGCTTGCAGAACTGTACGCAGCGCATCTACTACAGCTGTCTGTCGAAAAACAGGACCTTTTCTGCTGGAACGACTTAACAATAATGATAGCCTGGCTCAGCAAGCCACCATGCAAATGGACGACTTTCGTGGCTAATGGAGTCGCTAAGATTGCACAATCCACCAAATCCAGAAAATGGTCTCACGTTCGCTCCGAATGCAACCCTGGTGATCTGGATAACAGAGGTGTTCCCTCATGCGACCTCGTGGCTAATGATCTGTGGTGGCATGGAACAGGATGGCTACAATTGCCACAATCTCAATGGCCAACTCCTATAAAATCAGTCCATGACTCGTCCCACGTCCCGTGAAATTGATCACAATGGCGTCATGAGAGCATGCGGGCGTATGAAAGCTTTTGAGTTTTTGTGCTATGGAAACACCTTTCTTATGGAAGCACCTTTCTTATGGAAGCACTTTCACTCGTCTCCTCATTCGTTTCACGCATTGCATCTCCCTCCATGGTGGAAATCAGATAATTATGCGCCTGATCCGGTGCAAGTTCTGGATTCCAAAACTCTAATCTATTTAACATTCTCCCGTCCGTTCACGCATACAGGCGTCGATTTCGCAGGGCCGTTCGATTTCAAAAACTACACAGGTCAAGCATGCGTCATCACGAAAAGCTATGTATGCGTCTTTGTAAGCTTCGGCACACGATCCATACATTTAGAAGCCACTTCGGACCTGATGACCGAAAATTACTGGCCACTTTTGCTCGATTTGCTTCTCGACGGGGGTGCCCCCAACGTATGTACTCCGAAAACGACAAAACATCGCTTGACTTCATAGAAGCCGCAAAAACGTGTACAATTTCATCCTACAGTCCCACATGGATGGCTTATGGGAAGCGGGAGTAAAGAGCATCAAAACTCTATTTTACACGGCCACTTCCTCATGCAAGTACACGTTTGAAGAGTTATCGACACTCTTATCCAAAATAGAAGCTTGCCTCAGTTCGAGGCCAATCTCCCCATTATCAGAGGATCCGGCTGACCTATTGGTCAGTCCAGGCTATTTCCTAGTCGCCGGTCCTCTTATATTGATTTAGGAGCCTGAAATTGAAAAGAGTGTCCCGAACCACTGGCAACGTCTCAAGGCCCTCAATATGTTTTCGTTGGAAAGAGGAGTCCCTCAAGGAGGTGCACAAAAGGCACAAATGGCAACACCCACAAGCTTTTTCGCTTTTTCCTCGTGTCCACACGAGGAGTGGATGCGCATTTTTATATAACAACAGGGTAGCGACACAGTGGGTTGCCACTGAGCCTCGGAGTGATCTCGAGCGGCTCATGGAGGAACCCGTCGTCAAAGTAGTCTGTAAAAGAAGTACGAGGTTAAACCCTTTAGAAGCACCTCCCCCCCTCTTAACCCGCTATCCCAGCAAACTAACAAATATCTTGTAACTTGCTGGCCCTGGTGAGATTGAGATATGTACCCCGGCCATTAGATCCTTTACATATTTCATCCACATAGCCTATAATGTTGCGTTGATGTTCGAGTTTTCTAATGACATCCATAATGAGCTATCAGCTAAAATTGAATTCGAACTGGTGTCATAAAAGCAGTAATTTTTATGATATCCTTGCTTATAGGAACCTGATAATAACCTGAAGTCATATCCAATGTGAAAAAGTACTTATTCGATAATTGCTTTTCTACAATCGACATAGCTTTTAGTACTAACAATACTGATGCTGCATGGGGTGACATACTCCTTTGGATAATACCATGCTTCTGAAGATCATCCAGCATTGTGTGCAGCTTATCCCTCTGGACAAACGGGACTTGAGCGAATGGGGCAAATTGGACTATTGTGTTGACACCTTGATAAGCATGACTTCTGTGTCGCATCTGCCAATTTTTAAAAGACCTTCGGCAAAACAATCTGAACACGAATTGAACAGATCGTTCTCCTGGATTGCGCTGGGTGATATTAACATCAGACCTAATATCGAATTCCTTTTCCTCCAACACTGCAACCCGTGAATCATCTGCATCGCATTAGCTTGCCTTGCCACAAAATATCTCTGCCAAGCAAAACCTCGTACGGCAACACCTTGTCCGCCAAATTTTAAGTTCTGTACGACTGATACTCAGTTAAAATGCACTCCATCGATTCGACTATTGTCTCGCCAAATACTTGCAGCCGTTTTATTGACTGTTGTCTAACAGCTGCCTTGGGAACAGATGATACTTTAATGAAAGAAGTATCACTTCCTGTATCCACAAACGCTGTATATTTGCGCTCTCCTATGTACGCTGTTTTTACGATCGGTCAATACCCTTCTCTATTTGTCTTATTTAGATAAGATACAGTTGAATTTAACGATTAACAGTCCTTTTCGTCGAGACCAACTTATGAACATATCGAATATCGTGGTTAACGTTGAGGAGCCAAACACTTAGTCCTAAACTGATGGCAATTGAATCACTTTGGTCACATCGTTTTGGCTTCGCTGCCATTAAAATCTTTCACCTTCGCTCTGTCGAATGCTCTAGTGCCAATGCTCTTTTTTCCAATGCTTTGAACAGCTTAGAGCATGTAGCCAGATTCGTCGCTAATAACGCTTTCAACAACTTCTGCTGATTAGGGCCGTTGATATTATACGAATTTATCCATAGCTCATCCATATTGGCTTGATGACCTAATGCCAGTATTGCATAAAAGTACTCGATCGTTGACTCATAGTACTTGCGTTTCCAATGCATCATTTGCCTGTGCACAATTGCCATATTAAGCACACTAGGAAAACCTTTTATCAATGCGGCTTTAAATTGACGCCGTGTATAATACACTGACTGTCTCATCTTTTGCTATGCCTCTCAGCGAGTGTTTGAACCCGCGGTTTCCTCCATGTCCGCTCTAGTCAACATCACAAATCAGACTTGCGATAATTATTTATTGCTAATAATCAACATGTGTCGTAAATTCCTATTTTATATTACTCTCCATCTTTGACACATAGTACCAAGAAAAAATTTGGCCAATCTTTTATTATACAATTTTACTTTTTTTGAAAATATCAAACTATTAAATGAACACCAAACAATATAATACCAAACCCATTATTTATTTGTCATAATGCACATTAAGCCAGTAAGAAGATTACACAGATGCATGAAATATATATTAAGCTGCCACCGATATCTCTAAGCGTGGGCAGTTAGGAATGCCACACTCAAGATCTGGACAATTATCTTGATGCCAACAACTTTCAGAGCTACAAAACATGCATCCGTTGGGGGTGAGCGGTACGTTCGTTGAAAGTTTAAGCTTATCCCAGACCTTTTTTAAGTCCGTAACTAAAGCATTCATCATTTCAAATGTATGAAAAGGTGTTGGAGCTAAACGAAGTTTTTCCTGGCCGCGTGCAACTGTTGGATAGTTTATTGATTGTATGTAGTGTCCAAAGTTCTCCATAAGCATGTTTGAGATTTGGGTGCATATAAGAGGATCTCCAATTTTTATCGGAATAATGTGGCTTGGTGTATCTTCCACTGGAAAACCTGAAATGTTTTATTATATTTAAATTAAAATATACCTAAAAATATATGTATATTCATAGTTTTTATTTATATCTAAGTTGGTTAGATAACAGCTCGTGTGCTAGAAGGGCATAGCTGTTCTTTATTTCATACGCCCTACAGTAAACTTCTTTCTCTTACTCTCAGTGATCCCGATTCTCTCTCAATAATATCTATAGCTCAATTTAATGTATGTGTGTATGTGTCCGCACATGCAACAATGCGCACAAATTGAATTTTTCTCAAATTTCGGTTGCATTTCTCCCCTTTTGAAGGGACGAGAAAAGGATCAAAGCGTTTGCAACGTCGATGCGAAATTCATTTGCATGCATTTTAGCTATTTATTGTTGGTAAGGGTAACTAACCGTTGACATGTGTGGAAACTTTTGGGTCGGCCATGCATGCACACTTACATAAGTTAGCATACGGGTACAACCATTAATGAGTTTGTGTGCCTGTTGTTTGCCTGCCTATCCGATGAATTTCCAGATAAACACTGTCTCGAAACAAACACACACCAATAGCAACGTTTTATTTTTGCGCCCATGATCTGCTCATTCACACACATTTGTGTGTGTGGAAATTCAGGAATCCCAAAATAAGGGGAAAATAAAGATAGAGACTTGAAATTTAAAATATTTACTCTCCTATATTATCTTTTTTTGTCGATAACTCGTCACTTTTTTAGTATGATAGTATCTACACACACATTAAAATGCCATTTAATGCCCCTTTGAATTGATGAAGATCGGACAACAGGCATAAAAGTCATCATTAAATTTTCAATAGTTTGGCGCTGGCGGAAGAAGCAGCGCACCCAATGTGTAAGTTGCGCAGTTGGAATTCGTATTGAGCTATATTTTCTGCTTTGAAGACTTCAAGCTATGGTGATATAAATCAAAATATTATAGTGACTGAGGGGTACAGCGGATTTTTGTTTTATTTTAGCCTTTTTCAGAGGTGAGAATGCAATTTTGAGTCTTATAACTCACACTTTTCAATTTACAGCGTTAGTTTCAAAACAATATAATTTAAATTAGGAAAAATATGAGTTTTGTGCAGTATTTTTTAGTTTTAATTTTTAAGCTCGTGAAAACTCGAAAAAAAAGAATATTCATCAATCTTCTAGTTAAATAATGGCTTTAAATAGGCGTCGCTTAAGATATTATTTAAAGCAATATTTGATGTTATTTGTTGACAGCCGCAAGGCCAGTGACTTCAGATTGAAAATAGCTATCTCTATCGCCTATTCTGTTAAGATAATAGAATCCTTTGGAACATTACCTTAAGTCTGAACAATTTAAAAGTTATAGCCATGTTATCTGCATTTCAAGAGTATAGCTGCGTTTTCTTCTCCTAGTCAAGTTCGCTTGAGTATTATACAATGAACGCAAAATTATGAACAGCCAAAACATGGACATACTTTGAGAAATCATAATGTTCAAAAAACTCCTCTAGTCAATGTACATCACAAGTTTCCCCGACAGTCAAAATAGTATCTAATACTGTTTTCTCATTTCATTTAATGGAAGAAATTGTAGAACGTTTCGGGGAAATTATGATTTTTATTCTTTTTTTGTATCAGATGTAAAAACAACTTGGAACTTTTAGCGACACGTCACTGCACACTTTTAGTCAGCATCAAATTGATCAAACAAGTATGAGGTACTTCCTTCTGCCTGCTACATGCATTTGCACAAAAAGTTATTCCAAAAAAAAAAAATATTAAAAACGATAAAGTAAAGATATTTTCGGCAAGCCGAAGACTTAATAGCCATGGTAGTTGTAGACATTTCCCTTTTTACAGATATGTGAGAATGGTGCAGATCGAAAATGCTCAGTTTGTTAAAAACATCTATTTCACCGATCTTTTCTAAAGCAGCTATTTGAAATAGTAGTCCGATGTTGATATGATTTTGCATATATATGAAGATCATAATAGAGTTTGGTCATGTTATTTAAATATAAGGCATTGTACACGACTTAATTTAGCATACAATCATAGGTAATATTTATAAAATGCATGTAAAATTGCACAAATTGTTTAAGCATTTTCTTAGTTCCAAATTTGTATTTTATAATTTTAAAAATTCAAATCGGCGATTAATATAAAATTCACAAAAACTCTTATAAACATAACAGTTCACAATTTTTAGAATATTTGCTAGATACTCGTTCCCATGGTTAAATTGGTATTATGGGTTTGTGCAAATGTATGTAACAGGCAAAGGGAGGCATCTCCGACTGGTCATGGTCATTTTCTTCTTTCTGCTCAGCCGTCAGTATTGGACGTCGGCATCAGAGAGCCAGACCTCAAAAATTTAAATATCTTTGCAGATATATATAATAAATATGCGGTTTACTGATTTCCAATAGAATGTACTGCAAGAGCTATATAATGCTGTAGTCGTTTATAATTATGCTTACAATAACAAACTTGATTAAAATATCTTAATAAACATAAATGGATAAAAAAAAAATAAAACCCGTAGGCTTCACAATTCTTCCAACCCTGCAAAACCATATCAAATGGGACTGCTTTATTATATGGCTCCTATAAGAACAACCGATAAGAAATAAAGGTATTGTATAAAATCACTTCTGTGATTTCAGTAATTATCACAAATATGTTACCCTGACATAACTTGGGCTGAATTCAAGGAACTTTTCGTACACCAAACACCGTCTGACCGACGCTTAATCTCTTTCCAATTATGCTAGTCGCATGATGACGACTCTTATCCCTAAATGGCGTGAAATGGATGTGGAGGAAAATGCAGTTTCTGTGACGCTTGCTCAGTTGGTCATGCTGATAGCAGATTGCAGTGACTGACCTTTACTTGCTAAAAGCATTCACATTTAACAAAAATAAGAATATCCTACAGAAACAAACAGTTATATCAGACAAAAAGCGTCAGAAACTTTCAACAATAAAATGCTATTTTTGTGGAAAACTGGGCCACAAGATGGTCGAATGCAGAGCTAGGCAGCAACAAAATCCTTCTTCGCGTGATTTGGACCATAACGGCATGAGCGCAATCAGGCAAGGTTGGCCATATTTCAACACACTGGACACACAAAATGGACAAAGGCAAGTTTACGTATCAGGAGAAGAGTATAGATTTGCTCCGTCATTAAACCCAAAGGAGAGACGGTACTTCAAGGCAACATTTTCACCACTATTTTCGACTCTGGAGCCCAATTTTCATTACGCAAAGAACAGATAAATCACAATTTAAGAGATAAACGAATGTAGTGATGCTGAAGGTATTGGCAATGTAACTTAAAAGTTAACAATCATTGTATTGAAATATTGTTTCATGTTTTGGACAACGAATATTTCGTTTTTGGTCGAGATGTACTATCCCATGGTTTTGATGTCATTATGTCATCAGGGTAATTTGAAATTGTTAGGACATAAATTGTAATCTATTGTTCAAATGATGATCAATTAAATTTGTTGAACACTGATCTTGTTGGTGAAGACTAAGGTAAAATGAGCAGCCTTTTAAAAAAATATTCAAAATCGTTTATTAAGGAAATTCCCCATTCTGTGGTTAGTGTGGGTGAAATGAAAATTAAATTAATAGATCCAAGATTGATTGTTCAAAGACAACCATGTAGACTTAGCCCAAATGTAAAAGAATTGGTTTTCCAGTTTGCCAATGTACATTAGGGCAAGCTCTCGGATCTTGCAAATACATTTGTGGTTGTTTATATGGATGACGTATTGAACGTAGCTACATCGAAAAGTCAGGCCTTGGAAAGGTTAAAGATCACTCTTGACATTCGCACGAAAGCTGGATTTTCATACAATGTAAAAAAGTGTTATTTTCTTAAGTCAACTGTTCAATATTTAGCAAATTCGGTTAACATTAGCATTGAGTACCGTACCACCTCTTTAGTCGGTCACTGCTTTGAGACAATTTATTGGACTAGCGTCTTATTTTCGGCAATTTATGCAAGAATTTTCTTGTTCTATGAAACCGTTATATCTTTTAACATCAGAAAAGAATGAATTCAGTTGGAACCCAAAACATGAACAAAAACGGAAAAAAGTTATTTTTGCTCTTACACAGAAGCCAGTCTTAGTAATTTTTGATCCGCAGTATCCAATCGAGTTGTATACCGAAGCAAGTGCCCGTAGATATGGTGCCATCTTATTACATGGAATTAACAAGTCCCTATCAAGGACTAAACGTAAACTATCTGCCAGGGCACAAAGGTGGTGGATATTTTTCCAAGTCGTTTACATTTGATGTTCAATATAGGGAATGAAATTGAATGGCTCACGTTGATTTTTTATCAAGAAATCTTCCATCGGCTGATTTGACATTTGACAACTTGTAAAGTTCCTGAAAAGCGAATTGATTTGACAGAAATTTTTAGCAATTAGCTTCTGGCTGAACAACGTCAAGATTCTGGTATTGTTAATATTGTGAATAAAATAATCGAAAATTCTTTTGCCGACGACATCGCAAAAACCTTTGGTAAAAGTCGATCCTTATTAATTCTTCCTCCAGCTTTTAGATGGTCTGTAATTAACCAAATTTATGAGTCAGCTTTACACTTAGGATGGGGCCTTAGATGAGGCCTATGATTATTACTGGTTTGATAACATGTCTAAGCGTATTCGAAAATTTGTAGAAGAAATGTCAGTTATTCTCAGGTAAAATTCAAGCTAGCCTGCATCCAATACCAAAAGTCGATATGCCTTGGCACACTATCCAAATAGAAGAAGTGGGAAGTTAAAGCAGCAAGTATTATCAAAAGGAATATATTATTGTCGAAGTAAACGCCTTTACTAAATTTGTCTATCTTATTCACACTCTTAAAATTTATGCTGAAAATTTCATAAATGGAGTAAAATTCGCTGTATCTGTACCAAACTGCATAATAACGGATAAGGGAAGGTATATATCGCCAGCACCAAATTCAGCGAGTTTTATTAACAGCAAAAAAAAAATTTGCATTTGATCGCGACAGGTACGAGGTGCTGATGGACAGGTAGAAGTCATCATAAGCACCTTGAAAAACCTATTGACTGCAGTTAAGACTAGCAGCCGGTCTTGGCAAGATGCATTTGGTGAGGTTCAGTTGGCTTAAAATTGTACGGTAAACCGAGTGACAAAGGCAAGGTTTCTCGACCGTTGGGATTACTTCCCCCTTGTGATACGGCCCACGAGATTGATTTGGCAGAAGTAAGAGCTCAATGAGTACAAAATATAAATCAAAGCAGTACAAAAGCAGCAGCAACATAGAATAAAATAAAAACAAAAAAGAACAACGAATGCAGAGCTAGGTAGCAACAAAATTCTTCGTCGCATGATTTGGACCATAACGGCAGGAGCGCAATCAGGCTATATCAAAAATCCAATCTAACCTGCTTTATCGGTGGAGAGGTTGGCCATATGCACACTGCAGGAAGCCCAAAATGGACAAAGGAAAGTTAACGTATCAGTCAAAAAGAGTAGAGATTTGCGACGTCATTGAACCCAAAGGAGAGACGGTACAAGCGGACGGTACAGCAGTGCAAAAGCAGCAACCACATAGAATAAGATAAAAACAAGGCTAAAATTGTTGGATACAAGGTAGGAGATTTTGTGTTATTAAAAAATTAAGAGAGGCATGAAACGAACTTAAATTCAAATTTTAGAGGTCCCTTTCAAATAGCTGAACTATTAGACGGTGATAGATAAATGCTCAGGTCATTTATTTACGAATATTAGAAAATACAAGTATGAACACGATGATATAGAAAAACTGGCAGATAGACATGTACCAGCTGAGTTGGAAAGTTGGGATGATGATTTGAATAAAATGATTAAAATAGAAACTGTTAAAAGAGACAGTAAAGAGAAAGCTGTTGAAAGAACAACACTGCTGCCTGAAGGGCTGATAATGAATCTTTAAATATTGGTCACAATGTAAATGCAAGAAAAAAGTTTTGATTTACTTGAGTTTGTTATAAAGAATCACAAATCTTAATAAGTTTATTAAGAATGAAAACGGAATTTGAAGATCAAATTTGTTGAATTGATTATGAATTAAAAACATTTATATTGGAGAAAATTTATACGAAAGAAAGTTAACCAAATACGAAAATTAAGTTATGTTTGATTTGAATTTTATATTTTGTTAATAGAATTATCTGTATCGCAAAAGGTCAGATGGCCGTGTCGGCGCTTACTGAGTGTGTGTAATTGTACATTGTATTCGCAATAATTAGTATTTCACAATAATTGGGAATCTCGCATCATCTTTTATGCTGCGTCTGTTGTGTGCAAATTTGTCGCTTTGCTAAGATCCGTTACAGCGGGACGACAGCAACGCTGTCCCCGAGTGTGGTATATGAAGGTAAATAGTAGAACGTTGGAGTTGGTTGCTTCTTGAGTCGCCTAGCATACGCATCGAAACACGCTGCGCTCTATAAAACTGCGCAATGGAGGATAACACTCAGACTTCATCATATATATACATGTCTACAAAAATGTATTCCTTCTTCCTTCTTGGTGGAAATTGGGGTCAAAGATTTGGTGGATGACGTTTCGCAAATCATCCTCGGAAAAAAGTGCGATTCTCAGATTTTTTTGGTGAAGTTTTAAGTTTTGTCCGATTTGCTTCAAACTTATTTTCAGAACTAAACATAAGAACTTAATAAATACGTGTTCCAGCGATTTTGGAAATTCAACCTACAACAGTGGGTAATTAGCGAAAAATGTTTGTATAAAAAAATTTTTTTGTTTACCATCCTATCGGCCTCAAACTCATTTTCAAAAATCTTTGTTCAAATTAATTTTAGAGGTCTTTCACACTTTTCCCAAACTATGTTCCTCCTTGGTCGAAATGGGGTTCAAAGATTTGGTGGTTGACGTTTCGCTCTCAAATTAATTTCCAAGGATCTACATAAAAAATCATTTGGGACACATTTTTCGCAAAATCTAAACTCCTTCGGAGGAAAGTGCATTTCAAAGATTTTTTTATTTTCTTATTTTCAAAGCTCTACATAAGAATATAATGAATACGTATTTCAGCGATTTGGGAAATGCCACTCGCAACATTGGTAAATTGGCGAAAAAAGTTTGTATGAAAGTTGTTTGTTTACCGTCCGATCAGTTTCAAAATCATTTTCAAAGCTTTTTGAGAACATTGATTTTATAACAACGTGCCACGGGCAAGGCCGGGGTATACCCGCTAGTTATAACATATATATTGGTTGTATTTTATTCAAGTTTTCTTTAATTCTCTCATTCAATTTAAATGGGTAACATTTTTTTGTGAAGATATGTATTGATGCATTCGGCAGGAGGCTTCTGCGACCCAATAAAGTATAAATATTATTGTCGCCGAGTCGATGTACCCTAGTCTACCCATGTCCGAGTCGATCTACCCATGTGAAAACGCGTTGATCTGACATACTAGGGAGTTAAACAAAGGTTCCTGTTGACCGCGCAGATCAAGTTTATTTCATATAATCGACCCAAACAATAAAAATTAATGAAAAGAGAAGCTAAGGATATCTTCGGCACGCCGAAGATTAAATACCCTTGTAGAAATTTACCTTTTGCAGATATGTGAGAATAGTATGACAGTATGACATAGTGTATCAATGATAAGATTTTACATATATGTAGGGAGCATAGAGAAAATTTTATATGCAGTTCTGACATATGTACTGCCTGCAACAGAGAGACTGATCTATGCAAAGTTTCAAGACGATATAATATATATTTTAAAATATTTAAAACTTATAATACCCTCTACAAGGGTATACAAATTACACACTGCGGCTGCATACGCTCAATATCCTAAAAGTTCCGAAATTTTAAAAACATGGTGAATCTTGATAATACCCTGAGAAAACTGGTATAACTCATATTTTAGACGGCTGTTCTGATTGGGTAAATTTTTAAATTACAAAAATTGGCAATGTAATAAAACTCTTTACGAGGGTATAAAAAAAACTTTACAAAAACGAACTACATTTATCGGAGTAAATTCCAGTTTTTAGTCTTCGTAATAAAATTATAACTATAACATAAATTATATAAATATATATATTAACTATACCTTCTCTCAATAGCAAATTTTTCAAATAAGAAACATTCCTTTGATGTAAACTTCGTAACTGTCGCCCTTCTTCTGAGGCTAGTATGTTTATTGCTTCTAGTGAACCACAAATTACAGTTGGTGGCAATGATGTGGTAAATATAAAACCAGCCGCATAAGATCGCACCATATCAACAAGGGCAGAAGACCCAGCTATGTAGCCACCTATGTTGCCAAACGCCTTTCCTAAAGTTCCAGATATAATATCCATTTTAGATAACACACCGTCACGTTCTCCAACTCCTGCCCCATGATCACCATATAGTCCAACCGCATGCACTTCATCAATAAATGTAATAGCCCCATATTCATGTGCAACATCGAGCAGTTCTTCTAGTGGGCATATAGCACCGGTCATTGAATGCACAGTCTCAAATGCGACAATTTTCGGTGTCACCTTGTCAACTTGTTGAAGAAGAACACGCAAATGATTGACGTCATTATGGCGAAATATGTGTTTTCGAACGCCACTATTTCGTATGCCTTGAATCATAGAAGCGTGGTTACCAGAGTCCGAAAATATATGACAATTAGGCAACAGTTTAGCAAGTGTAAATAACGTTGAATCATTGGCTACAAAGCAAGAGGTAAACAAGAGTGCGGCCTCCTTTTGATGGAGATCTGCTAGTTTTCTTTCAAGACGCTCGTGATGCAATGAATTACCAGCTATGTTACGCGTTCCGCCGGCACCAGATCCATGAATATCCAACGCTTCCTTTACAGCATTTTTCACATTTGGATGAGCGGACATGCCTAAGTAATCATTTGCGCACCAAACGGTAATTGGACGTTCCGATTGAGAGGAATATTCGAGTGCATGTGGAAATAAGCCATCACCAGCTAAGCGATTCACTCGCTTAAAAACACGATAAGAGTGATCTCGTTTTTTTTTCAAAATCTGCTCGTTGAAAAATTTTTCGTAAGGAAAAGTAGAATTTTCCTTAGCAGAGACAATTGCTTTGTCATTGTGACTCCTTACATCATAATCTGCAAGACTAGTATCAACCGAATACCTTTTTGTTGAGTATGACCTTGTGGACTTCACTGAAAAAGGTAATGGCGACAATGGAGAAAGTTTATTTTCATTAGTCTTATGAATGGTTTTGCTAATAACTGGGCAGAAAATTCCATAAGACTGGTACAATATCTCAGCGTAATTGCGTAGATAATTTGCACCAAAACGGTTTAGGAACGGACACTGCATGATTTAACAAATATTAAATTTAATTGTATTCAATGAACTTTGACGCGTTTCAATTATGCAAGAAATACGTTGACAAAGTTTGGTGAAAACTAGGGATGTCCTAATTATTCGATGTATCGATTATATAGATAAACCAAGATTGGTATTTGTTTAGGTCCAAATTAGTAAAATTTTTTTTATATATCTACGTCGTTTTGCACAATGCTCCGCTTCTGGCAACGGATATAATTCTACTAATAAGAAATTAAGAACATTGAAGTACATTATATTGCAGTACATATGAAATATTATTATTTAATAATGCGTTTATAATGTAGAGTTGTATCGAATATACGTGCGTCAAAATAGCGCCGTTAAGAAAGCGACGTTTTGGGGCTTGTTTCCGGAATCAGAATAACACATTATATATATGCCCTTAAGCAGATTAGAATCTTATATATTGTAAAAAACGCAGCGATTTCATGGGGCTAAGGGCAACCCGTCCAATAAATAAAAAAATTTTAACACAGGAAAAACATTACCACTTATGTTGTGATGCAAAATTGTACAAAATGTTAATATTTATTGTAAGCTTTTATTATGGGCAAACCAAGGGTTAAAAACTCAGGTTTATACCACTATTTTAAATCACTTATTCAGGGCTTTCGTGCCAGAAACCGCATTTACACAATCACCTATCAAACCTTGAACATTTTATAAAAATCGAATGAACGTTTTTGGATAAATGTATGACCCCAATGGACACAACAATTTGTAAAGTTTAGTTTGTTTTGACCACTTTATTTTCGTTAGTATATGATTATTATTATTTAATTGAATAACATAATTCATTTGTGGGCCAATATAAAAATATAACTCAATTTGTACAACATCCAAGGGTTTTTACAAATATGACCTGATTTTACTGGGCTGAGTAACCATAAATTAGTGGGCTTGCTTTTGAGGCCTTATAATTATCTTAGGAGTAATGGCCATTTATTTACTGGATAAAGGCACTAACCAAACAACATGTTGATGATTAATGTGGACATTCAAATTACTGACATATGGTCCAAAGTCGTCTTCGTTTGTTCGGGTTCGAGACACTCTCACTTGCTCAGAAAGCAAGAGGGTAAGAAATACATATGATTTGTCGCTAACACTTAGTCGTTAAAACGGAAAAGTGGGATACCCGCTTGAATAAACTACAACAAAAATTCTTCTGCTTTATGCCCTTTTCGTGGAACTTTCCTACAAATCTTCCTTGTAAGTCCTCCAACTCATAATAGCTACTGCCAAGTACCTTACTTATTCTGGCTTTCACAAAAGTCACAAAAGTCACTCTGCTGAAAATTGCGGCGAAAGACCTCCTGACCAACACTGAAAGCTACATTACGGGTTCGAAAGTTGTAGGTTTTATCATTTCGCATCTTTTGTCGCTGTATTCCTTTTTTCGCTTCTTCACGTATAATATCGTGTGAATCTTCCCGATCAAAACGGGTTGTTCGGTCTTCTAATTGCTGCAAGTTTCGCATGTGTTGGTAAGTCTTTCCATTTGTAATCATATTCTGCCCAAATGTAAGGACTGCTATGAAAAGCTGAGTGAAAACCTGAACGAAGGGCACATGCTATTCTACTAAGATGTTCATCCCAATCGCTCTGGTCCGACTAGATATATGCCTTAATTGCTGCAAGTACGGATCGGTTTACTTGATCCGATGCATTAGATTGTGGTGCATACATAGCTGAATAGTTATGTTACACTTCATACTCTTAAAGCAATTTATTGAAGGCATGTGATTTAAACTGCACTCCGCTATCCGAAACAACCATTTCAGGAACGCTGAAACAATGGAAAATGTTCTCTTCTAGGAAACCGACTACGGCGTCGGCAGTGAATTTTTTTACCACCTTCAAAAATGGGTCCTTCGTCAAATGATCAACAACCAGAAATATTCCAATATTCCCTGAACGACTGCGTGGATAGGGGCCTAAAATGTCTAAATACAACTTTTGAAATATTCGTTGGGTATCGGTAAAATGATTTAGAGGTGGTCGTAAGGGCTGATTCGGGTGCTTGATGCACTTGCATCTAACGCAGCTATTAATAAAGGTTTTTACGTCATTCACTAAATTTGGCCAATAGTAGTAACGACGTCGTCAGTCATGAGATCTTTCGGAACCCACAGCATCCAGCACAAGTCATCGGCTATCTGCTCGCAAGTTGCGTGTTCGGTTCTGCAATAAATAATATCGTCAACAACTTTGAGATCTGGCAAGTGAGATTGATTACTCAGCACTTTCTTTCTTAGTTCCGCATACTCCATAAGGTAAGTCCTTCGTATGTACGCGAGAGAGGACATCCGGGACAATGTTTTGACTACCTTTTCTATGATGGATTTTTAAGGAAGATGCTTGTAGTTTAAGAGCCCACCTTGCTAATCTCGAGCTCAAATCAGATTGAGACATGAGCCATTTTAACGACGCATGATTAGTATGTATGCCGAATTCATGTCCTTCAACATATGCACGAAATTTCTTCACGCACATAACCGCTGCCAAGCATTCTTTTTCTGTCACCGAATAATTGCGTTGGCATTTACTCCAATTTCGTGACATGAAGGCGATTGGGACATCATCGTTACCATCCCTTTTGCATAAGCACACCACCCACGCCGGTATGACTTGCATCGCAGTGTATCTCAAATGGCAATGAAAAATCAGTGCTATGCAAAACTGGAGCTTTGCACATCTCCTCCTTTAACGTCTCAAATGCTTTCTGCGCTTTATCTGACCATACGAACTTGTTTCGCTTCTTGAGTGTATCAGATATGGGTGCAGCAATGCCGGCATAGTTTTGAATAAATTTGTGATACCAGCCTGTTGTTCCTAACAATCGCCGCACCTGCTTGACTGACTTGGGTACAGGAAAATCTCTGATTGCTGATACCTGTTTGGATGGTACCATGCCCAATATGGCAATAACATGACCAAGATACTTAACTTCCTGTAAACAAAACTTGCTCTTTTCTACATTGATAGTTAGACCTGCTAGTGATAGTCGATTTTCCAATTGTTTCAGCACCGTTATGTGCCTATCGAATGAATCCGAGATGACTAATAGATCATTCAAGTAAATAAAGATCTCCTTACGCAGTTCAGGGGGAATGACTTTATCCATTAGTTTCGACATGGTTTGGGCATTAGATAATCCAAACGGCATGACCGTGAATTGATATAATGGCCGCCGAGGAATCGTGAAAGCATTTTTTTCTCCTGCTCTCGCTGTCAAGGCAATTTGCCAGTAAGCATCTTTCAGATCAATGCTGGTAGTATACTCTGCCCTCGGTAATCTGCTTAAAATGCCATCCATAAGGGGCATTGGGTAAGCATTTGTGATCGTTACTTCATTCACTTTTCGGCTATCTAGACAAAGTCGAACTTTTCCTGGTTTTTGAACTAAGACAACGGGCGAAGACCAGGGACTATCGGACTCTTCAATAACTCCTAACGCCAGCATCCTATCTAGCTCCTCATATATTCAGCTTCTCAATTGCCGGCGATACTGCATAATATCGTTGTTTTATAGGCTTACACTTTATGTCAATATCATGAGTGGGCCATTTTGTCTTGCCTAGGCCCTTCTTTGCAAATGGCGGGAACTTCTGAATAGTAGGTAGTAATTCGGACTGCTGTTCTGCTGATAACGGTAGCTGCAGAGGGTCAGTAAGCTTTAAATACGCGTCACTTTTTGTATGCTCTCCAAAAATCGATGCCCAAAGAAAGCTCCTGCGAAAGAGAGGGCATAATATAAAGACAAAGTTGTTGTTTTTGGCCACGAGATGCGATGGATGTGTTAAGTTTACCAAATATTTCTTGATTTTGGCCATCGGCAGTGCGCACAGCTGATTTAATGTGCTTATATTGTGTTTGCCTTGAAGCTAATTATCGTGCTTAATTGCCCCTGATAACGGGGCGCCGGTGTCCATAAGGCCAGCTATAGACTTGCCCAGTATTGCCACTTGAGCATAAGGTCTAAGATCGCTAGAGTTATTTACAACATACGAGATAATGGCCTTTCTATAATCATTTTGAACGAGCCAATCTGCAGCTCTGCGCTTCTTATTTCTCGATTTGGGGGTATTACTGGGTTTTGTGTCGAGTCAGGTTGGGGATCGAGAGAAAAAAACGCAATGTCAGTTACTCCGTATTCGTAGCCTTGGAGACTAACTTGCATGCACTTGTCAGCGGTGCACGCACACGATGGTTTATATGTGTCTTTCTGACCACCCCCAAAACGGAACACTGTGCGTGCTGCTATACACTCTTGGTATCTATGGCCGTGCTTACCACAATTCCAAGAAACTTGAGTCACGGCTGCAATACCAAAATCGTCGGGTATGTCGTCTTCACACTCTTCCACCCCTTCGGTTTGCACGGTGACTTGGCTGACATGACGTCGCACCACAGCACACTGATGTGCTGGAGTTAGTTGCGATATATTTTTTATAAATCGCTCCCGTGTGCGTACTATGTGCCGCAACTGGACAATATTCGGGATAGATATATGAATATCTCATGCTGAATATCCGGTAGTAAATTTGCTCGTAGCACCTCTAGTACCGCCTGCTCATTCATGGGTTGAATCAACCTATCTGTGAGTGCTACTATAGCCTCATAAAAATGGTCAAATAATTCATTTGGCTTTTGTTTCCTTTGTGAATTAGCTGTTCGTATCTCCTGGTCTGTTCTGCCATCTTTAAATTGATCTTTTGTAGCTGCACACAACTCTGGCCAACGTACTACTGGCATACTCTTGTGATATCGCCAATACCATTCACTAGCACTCCCCTCAAACAAATTACAGGCGTTATAAGTTAGCAACTCAAAATTGCCATCTAACGTCTGTCTTGTAAGTGCTTCCACCCGGTATACGAATTCATCAATCGACATAGATGAGTGACCTGCGTAACGCAACTTCCAATTAGCGATAATTTAGCTAACTCTATCTGGACGCAAGCTATAATTTTGTTGCGATCCAAAGGGAGAAAACCCTTCCATTGAAGGCGCACTTTGATTGGGTTCAGCTCTAGGACCCTGCGG